ATCGGACTCTGATTTTCGTGTTAAAGGAATTTCTACTTCTATTTATATTTGTACATTTTATTGTTACATACATTCAACTATCTTACCATCTTTTTAAATTAATTTATTTTCAATTTAAAGAATTTTTCATTCTATTTAAAACAATAAAATCATCTTCAACATCAATAAATATCTTCATTAATGTCAAAAATAATGCTTGTTTTTAAAGTGTAAAAGATTTTTTTTAAAGAATCCATTTATGGACTCGCAATCTCATTATAAAGAATAAGGGCGAAAATAATATATAAAAAACAAAAAAAAAAAATTGTACAAGAAAGTACACAAAAACCCCAAGACCAAAAACCCTTTTTTCGCAAAATCAAATAAGAAAGAGACAAAAACATTAAAAAACTTTATTAACTTTGACAAGATCTCAAAAAAAGTTTTGAACTTTATTTTTTCTCTTTTTCATTTCTCTCTTCGTTTTTTTTTTCTTTTTTGTTTTGGTTATTTATTTATTATATTTTTATTTATTTGTTTATTTTTTCTTTAACTTTTTAAATTAAGACACTAACTGAAGAATATTTTCAAGATCTAATAGAGAAGAACCAAAAAATACCGAAATTGATGAAAAATTTCCATTTAACTAAATTACCAGCATCTTTACGAGAATTTCAGTTTCATGTCATTTTCGTATTGGTTTGTAACTTGGATGGAATTTAATTTATAGGCGATTTTGTTTTTAAGGTTTTAAGCAGAAAAACTTAACGTTATTTTCTGTTTTGTTTGTTCGCCATTTTATTTTTTTTTTGGGTTTTTTTTTTTGACTTTTTCTGCATTTTATTTTTTTCTTTCAATTTTAATATTTTTATTAAGTAAAATTATCCTAATGGGATTTTCTTTGTTTATTCTGCGTTTTTTTCAAATTTTTGTGCTTTGCTTGTATTTTCTTCCCTGAAATTATGAATAATGTATATTTTTTGGTGTATTAAATCCAATTTATGGAATAAAAATATAAAGAAAAAAATTAAAAATAAAGGGAATTTTGGATTTTTTTCTCTCAATTTTTAAAAAAGAATTTTGTAGAAAACAGAACAGAAAATATGAAAAAAAATTATGAAAAAATAATGCGCTCATTTAAAACGGAATACGAAAAAAAAAGAGAATTTTTTACTGCTCATTCTCATTTGCATTCATAAATTTGATGTCATATTAAATTTGTATTGGTATTATAAATGAGTTCTCTGTTTATTAATGGTAAGAAATTAAGTTTTAGGTTAAATATGGTCCTTTCTATATTGGTGTTAATATTTTATTAGTTTAAGTTCTAAATGCTTAATGCGAATAAAGTCTTCGCATACTATCTTAAATATAATTCTGAAGAAAGTTTTATAACAAGGTTTTTCTTAATAAATCATATTTAAATATACTGTGCATGTATATATAGACTAATTCAATATTATCAACATAATACATTTATATACGAGTAAAATTTAATACTATTGTACTTTTCTTATTTTTGATTGGTTTTGCTGTTAAATATAAATTTAATGATTTCCTTGTTCTAAAAACTGAAATATTATTGAATGGAGTTTTGTAATACTACATGATAACATTAGAAATTTGAATTCTCCTTGCCATAATCTGCGGTTTACCGATTCCAAAGTTATTAATAAGAAAAAATACAAAACGATCATTTTAAATTAAATCTAATTTTTGAACTGGACTCAATTAAAGTATGTTTTTCCGACTTAAATTAAATTTTTTTAGTCACAGATTTTAATAGACAATTTAAGTACGTACATGTAATTTATAGTGATATTTTGCACTCTTCAGTTTCATCGAAGATCCTATATCTTCAGTCTATTCTAGTATATTCCAAATATTTTAAGTTCTTATGATGTAATTGAAATTTAATTAGCCACAATTATTTCTTTTTTCAAATTTCGGAACAGAACTAAATAGTGGAACTTTTACGTAAGTGATACTTTAAAAGAAGTTTAGATTAAAACGTGAGTTTTTGATTGCGATCTAATTTATTGAAAATATTTTTTTCCATAAGATATTAGAGAAAAATTTTTTAATACAATTCCTAGATACATATAAAAATTTTCATATTAAGAAAGTTGTTCACATGAAAAAATATTAAACGTAAAAGTGCTTGCAATAATAATAAAAATGAGTAAAATAAAACCTTTGTGAATTTAAAACTTAAACTGGCGAAAAATGTTAAGAACAATGACATTTGTGACTGTTTAGAAAGAAAATCACTCTATGCACAAGTATGCATACGTATATGTAAATACATATGTATAACATTATTATAATAAAAAAAGTGCACAGCGAATTTTCTGTAATTCTTTTAATTTAACTGTACTTAAAGTTTTATTTATTTTTATTTTCAAATTTTACAGTTTTTATTTTTGAAACTTTAATTAAAACTTTTAGTTAAAAGCAAAATTACAGATTTGCACTTTTTTTTTCTGTGCAAATAAAATGGCCTCTTATAGTTAGCATAATCTATAAAAAAATACTTTTTGGGTTACTTTTGGTTTTTATTTTTTTTTACAAAATTTTATTTAATTTTTTTTGTATAAATTTTTTTTGCCAATGCATGTACATATATATTTTAATCCTTGATGACGTTGTCGGACCATATAATGATGTTTTCCGGAATCAGTTAAAAATCCAACGATATAAAATGAGAAAAATGAAAATGTTGTAAAAATTGGAACAAGCGATTTAAATGATGATGTGTTGCGCTTATATGAAATATACACAAACAAACGTATGTATATTTACATAGAGTATATTAAATTATGTATGGTTGTATGTATTTATATAATTGCATAGTGTATTTTTAGATAAAAAGGGAAAAAAATCATTTTGTATAATGCAATAATTTATCGTATTCAAAAGTTTGAAAAGCTGGAGACAAATTTTTTCTTTTATTTGGTTTGTTTTTTGCTTCACCCTAGTTAAAAAAATATGTATGCAAAAAAAAAAAAAAACAAAAATGGGAAAAAAAATTGTAAAACTTTGGAAAGTAATAAGAAGAAAAAAAAAGAAAGAAACAAAACGGAAAAGTTAAAATCTCATAATGAATTTCTGGAATATATTTTCCCTGTTTTTTTCACCAAGAGTAGCAGTCAGTGTATTATATGCAAGTAAAGCGACAAAGTGAGAAAGAGATGGAAAAAAGAATGAAGGAAATTATTGAGAAAAAAAGTGTCACGCGTATCAGTTTTCCATAAAAAAAAACCCGATTGTATTGAAATTCCTAGAGTTTCAATGCAATAAATACCTTAATCAAAAAATACATTTGAATGGCTGCTAAAGTGATATATTCAATACATGAACACATTCCTATTTTTTTAAAATTTGACTTTTAATCAAGACTCGATTGCTTTTAAATGTTTAAATATTATGTTGAAAGTGTTTTTGTTTTATAGATAATCATTCATATCATGAATTTCGTTCGTAGCTCTGAAATTCGAAAAATTGCGAATATCATGTTGTCAATTACGAATTACTAAAATTCTTCTCCGAATATTCGTAATGGAGTAATCATACATAAATTACGTTCAGTCTAGTAAAAACAGCCCTCAAAAGTTTAAGAAAAAAATAATTACACCCAACAAGCAATTTAAATTTTCAAGTTTTTTTGTTTGAGTTTGAGTTACTTTAACATAGCTAGCGTGAAGTGAAATGAATCAATATTTGCTTTAAAGTATTCTTTTGGATGAAAGTTATTTACTGAGGTAGCAACAAAAAATATAAATAAACATTTGACAGTTGAAATAAAATATTGATTTTGATACTCCGAAAAATGGTGCTGGTATTGACGGTTCATAATCTTTTCGAAAGGAATTTGTCATCATTGATTAGGTTTAATAGAAATTATATGAAGGTAAAGTTAAAAAGAAAAAAGGGAATATTATCTTCTCAAAATTAAGAAATTGCCTTCTAAAACAAGAGCTTAATAAAATATTTAATTTATGAAAAACAAAAAATTTAAATATCAAATTTAAAAAATTTGTCAAAAAAGAGGGGATTTATAAGCTACTGTTCAAAGCACTTAGATCTAAACGTTTTGTCTTTAATTTGATTGATTCAAATCATCCCAGTTACTTATAAAACTTATTTTAATTTCTCTAAAATTATCCAAGTTCATAATAATATAACCTTTTCAGGAAACTAAAATATATACGCATATACATACACATTTATACATATATTTAATAATAAAAGTAATAAACCTTAACCGTTATTATTGGGTTTCTTTCCTGGTGTTTTATTACTACTTGTGCATTTAATATTCGTTTTTTTTGTTTGTTTCCCTTTTCTTTTTATTCATATAATAAAAAACTACTCCTTTTTTTTAGATGTCCTTTTGTCAAACGATCTACTTTCATCATATATAACAGAGTTTTTCTTTCTCTTTAATAATAATTTTTTTTTATGTTAAAAAACAAAAAAAAAACAATGTAATCAGTAAATAAATGCACAAAAATAAAGAAACAAGTGGATATAAAACGATAAAGTCTGGGCACGCTGTGTTAACATCCGTGTACAAACAAGAAACAGAATGAAAAGAAAAACAACAGAAAACAAAGTGGAATTTTCAATACACACTACATTATATTATACGAAAAAATTTTCCTCTTGCACACACACAAAAACTTTTCATCTAAATATGTGTGTGTGAGTTGGTAATGTATTATACTTCGTTTTGAATATTTTCCCCAAAACGTTCATTTTATTTCATTAAATACCCAGACCCAATGATGGCAACTTAAATTTTGATTTATATGCAGCTTGTTGGTTATTTTTTCCTTGTGTTTTTTTTTATTTAATAATAATTTTTGTATTTCTTATGTTATTCCTCTTGTTTTACTATTAATAACATACACATTCATATACATATGAAAAATACAATCTGTTTCTATTTTATTTACGTATACATATTATTATATTTGTATAAAAAACGGAAAATGAGAAAATAATTGAAGTTTACTTACATTATGAGACCATGTGATACGATGTTCTTTGGGGTTAGCTTTGATATGACATTCAAAATAGACATCATCACCCTCCTTGATATCATCCGCTTTTAATGTTGAGCCCAGTGATAACGTCACCGTCGGTGGATCTATATGTATACATTTTTTTTTATTTTTTGGTGTAATAATGTTTTAATCAAAAACGATGCCATTAAGTTATGATGGATGGATTGTAGAAGCGCAAAAGGAAAACAGAATGAAAAAAAAAAAATTTGTTTCATTAAATTTATATTTTTATTAAAAAACTATTTTAAATCTATAAATTCATTTCAAATATAACACAATAATGTATGTAATGTAGATATATGTATATATGTATATATTAATTTGTATTTTATTCAAATTTATTGTTATTCAAAATTTTATTGTTTTTCTGTTCGGTTGCTTTTTTTACATTTTAACCATAAAAGCGTGCCATCATCAAATTAGTGTTTTTTTTCCTATTTTATTGAATAAGTGAAAAAATAACAGGGTGGTGATTATAATATAGATTCAAGCATAAGATATACTTTTGTAAAAAGAAATAAAGGATTTCCTGTACAATTTATATTACTTTTTAGTTTAATAACTTAATAATAATTTTTATTAATTTAAATATATTTTGTGAAGAAAAACTCTACCACAGTACGTGCTATAAAAATTCAAAATATTTTAGTATTGAAATATTAATTAGAAAAGTGGAAGCAAGATGAATTTTCAAAAAAGAAAAAAGTAGTTATGCATATATATTTTAAATGAAACCACTTAGTACGGGGCTATTAAATTTCAATTAGGAAAAAATACTTAAATTGGAAACTTCGGAGATCGAGACAAAGTATAGGAAAAATAAAAATAAAATAAGGTGTCGATATATAGGTAAGCTTTGTATAAGATTTGTAAAGCTATGAAATCTTTATAAATAAAGCAGTTTTTTGGAAGACTACATCATTATATTTTCTAACTGTTATTATATTACTAGTAAAACTTTTTCTGATGTCAGATTAATTAAATAAATTAATTCTAGCATACATTTGGGCGTAGTGGAAACAAGAATTTTTCGAAATAGCTAATATTAAAAATATTTTCAAAAAACATTTTCAAATATTTTAATAAATAAAAAAAAAAACTTCCTATTTAACAGGTAGTTGACTAAATAGATAGGAAATTTTCTTATAAAAACCATAAAACTGTACACGTTGATGATATTAATTCAGCTGGAAAAAATTTTCAGCTGGAAAAAATTTATCAAACCGTCTCATCTACAAAATTTTGAGGATGAGACGGTTTGATCAACTTTTGGGTTATGTTCGATTACTATTACTGGATCTTTACAACGTGCTGACTTTGCGTTTAAGACTATGTTTAAGGAAATAATCAGCGGATATTCCAGAAATCAAATCTATAAGCTTCGTCTGATAAATTAACTTTTCGAGAAAATCAGGTGTCAATATCTGTACTATCCACAATCAAGCAAAAGGTTAACAACGGAAATCGTTAACTAGGTTAACAAAGTTGTGGTTCCCCGCTTTGGTTCTACTTTTAAAAATATTTTTGCGCTCAATTTTGTTAGCAAAATTAACTAAGAAACTTACAGGAAAATCGAATCACGGGACATAAATCTCTGCTAAAAGTCAAAATTACATTTTTCTATGTACATTAAAGTTTAATTTTTGTCTTTCATAGAATTTTAAATAAAAATTATAAATATATTTTTTTTAAATTTTTACAATTATATGCAACACTTTAAGAATGCGTTCGGTTATGTACTGAAAACATCAAATTTTTTTTATTTGTCATTATATAGGTAGGTATGTAGGAAATTCTCCGTTATCAAAGAAATTCTGATATCTAGGGATCTATCGATTTGAACCGACTTTCTGAACTTTCCTCAATATTTAAATTTTTCATAATTTGATTTATTATAAACAATTCTAAAATGACTAATGAAAAAGCATATATTTTGATCTGATAAATCATAAATTTTGGTATGATTGATCAGTGGCTCACTGAATATAAATAGATCGCTTACAGTAGCATGCATCACTAATTTGCTGCAAAAGTACTAAAATTTTACCGATACTTCTGCTTAAATTAAGATTTGAAGTTTTGCTTGACACTCTTATCAAAATATGTTGTGTAAATAAATTGTACATGTATTGAAATGTTTACGCTTTAACGATTTTAAGTATACATTTCATATGTATGCATGCTCTTTAAGGTAACATTTACCAGCAACGTGTAATTACTTTGATCAATGAACAGAAAAAAAAAATAGATTTTTAATTGTTAAGACCTTAAGTTTACACAATAATAATGAAGTTTTTTTTTTAATAACAAATATAAAAAACACGCAAAATTTTTTAATTTCGTGTTAAATTAATTGGTGTAGCAATTAAAAATATTTTCCATTTCTTATACAAAATAAAAATGTGTGTAATAAAAAAAAATAAAAATTTAATTGCGTTTTCTTTATTATTTTCCGTTTTAATAATAGTTTCCTTAATTATAATTATAAATTTTAATAATATTGCGTTACTCTTATTACCTGTTTTTGAAAATTATTTAATACAAACTTTTAAATACGCATTAAAAGTGTATTTTACATTGTGTGCTTAGTAATAATTTTTAACATGATGGTTGTACCTTTAATTTTCGAAAGTACATTTAAACGCGTAAGATTTTAAACATTTCTTTCTTTTACGTACTTTAATTTAATCTTCAATTTACTTTCGAAATTAAATTTTACTTGAATGTATGACTTCTGGGTATTTGAGAAAATATCGGAGCTAATTAAACTAAGTATGTAATATGTACTAAATTTTGGCAAAACGTACAAACACAAAATATGTAGAGAAAACTGGAATTTAGAACAAAATTAAGAAGCGCCAAGCTCATCGGATTTAAATTTTTAAAAATTGGATTAAAATAATGTTATCATTTTTTTATTAATATTGTAACAAAATAATATTTGTCACAAAATATATTGTCGCTTATTATATTACATAAGAATGTATGCGCCGTTAAAATGGTTTCCCAAATCTATTTTCTTTAAGAATTTTTTCGAAAATCAGTCAGGGTAACTGTTTGTGATAAAATTTCTTAACATATGCAAATTGAAAAGTTCTTTATATTTTCTTTTTACATTTTTTAATTAAATTTATATTTTCTGTTGCATGGCATAAATGATTAGCTTCTGTATTTATAGAAATTTTAAATTCGAAAATTTGCAGTGGTATGTTACTTATGTCGTCAAAAAATGCCATTTTGAGGTCTTTGAGGGTCTATAACTTTTAGATGGGGGGAGATAGGTAAAAAATTTCTTATCCGGAAATAAGTCTCTAGTATAGGTCTATGAACATATTTGTAAATTTACGTTAAATTCAGGTTTCTATCTTCAGGGTTGTAGAAGAAAATGATCCTACGCACGGACGGGCGGTTAGAGTAATGCTAATAAATAAAATTAATTTTACATACATAGTTAATTAGTTAATTCACCTCAAATTGATTATTTTTTTAAAATATTTAAAACTAACCAAAAAAAAAAGCAGGAACATTAAAATTAAAACTCAAAATACTATCAGTCATACAAGCATAATTAAAATTACTGGGGCATAAAAAAAGTTTTTTTAGAAATCAATATGCAATTAGTAGAAGAAAATTTTTTATAATTTAATTAAATAATAATTATAAATAATAATAAAAATAATTGATTATTAAATGAAAATTCATTATGTGTATGAATTATTCATTAGATTAAATGCACATAATATTAAAATCAATAAATTATTAATGAATTAGCATGTTAAATAAATTATTATTTTTGTTTTTCATAATAATTTTTTTGTTATTATTGTCTGTTCGAACTTAAATTAACTTTAAAATAAATTGTTTTTGCGTTAGAAATTTGATATACACTAAACCTAAAGCACCTTACATACATTACATTTTTTTAATTTTATTATACTGAAATATTAATTTACATTTAGATATTTTAATTTTAATTTTAAAGTTGATTAAATTGAAATTTTGACATAATTAGCTTCGTTGTTTAAATTTTACATTTTTTCAAAAATTATTTAGCATTTAAAATCATCAAGATTTCAATCAACTCAATTTTTTTGCAATCGAAAATTAAACCTATTAAAAATGTGCAATACAAAAGAGAAATATTACATAGACACATTCTACTTTAACTTGTTTGGAAAGACTATTACAAGTTGGAATTCATAAATTGTTATAAATGACGCCCTATTTTATAATATTGGAATACTGCATTCACATTATATTTAAAACTATTTTCCATTTTAGCAAATGTAATTGTGGTAGTTGGGAGTTTAATTATTATTATATTTTCATATATTTTATGTACATACTTATGAACATTATAAAATTATGATGAAGTTATAATTTAATTTTAATAATATTTTTTATACATTTATATTTTGCTGACAGCGTTTTATATTTAACGAATTCATTTATCTGGAAAAATCAATCAAATCATTTCTTATCAGTATAATGTCTGTTGCAACAATGATTGCGTAAAAGCAACATGATTTTTAATACCATATTTAACGTAAAAAATAAATTTAATATATGACAGAAAAAATAAATTAAAGGTGTTTTAAAAAAATGTTTAATGTCTAGCTTTTAAATTTGTGGTATTGACGAGTTAATCTTATAATTTAATACATAGTAGGTATTAAATTATAAGATTAACTCGTTATCAAAAAAATTAAAAATTTTCGAAGGGATATTCAAACAATATTTGGCAAGAAATTACTTTTATAGTTAGACGTTGTGTTTGAGAGACAATTTCAGATTTTGAGATTTAATAATTTCATCTCGTATACTTCTTCAATTTCGTTTAGTTATTTAATATAATCTTTCTTCAAATGAAATTTAAAGATTCAACTTTAATTAACTCGAAAATCATTCTTCTACATACGAGTACTTACATATTTCGAAGTTCAAGGTCTTAAATCAAATATTCTCGAAACACGTTTTGTTTTAAGTCATTAACAATAATTACACATTATACATTTGACTAAAAAACGTGTTATTCCACATAAGAAACATTTGAAGATTTTGAATTCCTCGAAAAAAAATGTTATATAAGCAATATAAAACAAATGTATATGAAAAATATGCTCATAATTCATAAATGATCTGGTTTAACTATTAGACAAATATGATAAAGATCAATACTGTTTTAATTTACTTTGTTAATTGATTTTCTTAAATAACAATTCTTAACTAATTGGAAAATTTTCAAATAATAAAAAAATATTTGATTTTTTTATATTATGGCCCAAAAAGTTTTCGATTTCATATTTTGAGATTTATAATTAGAAATAGAAATTAAAAAATTCTTTTCTTGTAGGACTCATGTCAATACACAATATAATTTCCCAATATTCTTATTTTAATTCCAAAATGCTTATTTGCTAATATGGGATGTTTTTTTTCACCCTCGGTTACAGAGGCCCTTAAGCTCTTCTCACGTCGACCTATAGGATCTATAGTGATTCCCGTACCCATCTAGATTGGCCCTATACCTAGGCCTCTGACAAACCGCATCCCGCATTGCTTACTCTTTTCCAATGGCCTATCGAGGGTCAGTGTCTATACTGAAGGCATCCACCAAGAGCCTCAAATCAATGAACTACGAATTATGGCAAGTTTCTGTCTCTTAAGTCTAAAGGAGGCATACATTTCTTAGAGTGTGGCAGGCCGGGAAAGCTGTTCCGATGTTCAACTCTGGCCCGCTCCTCCCAATCCTATGAAAAGAACCACTGCTTCCCTTCAAGCGATACCATTAGCTCTCTCATTCTTATCTATTCCGTAGTGTTTTGCCACCCGTATTAACGTTAACCTGTTGTGCTTAGCCAGGACATCAAGACTATCAACGCATTCTTTCAGTAGCCTGAATCCTACTACATCAGAGGAAAAGGCTCCAAGACCGGTCCTACTGTCCGACATAGTAAATATCCTGCTCCTTTTGATATTCCTTCTGATCCATTCTAGAGCAAACAGTTCTATGGCATAAGTTTCAACCTAAAATATTGATGGGCGGTGTCCGAGGGCGCTCCCCGTATAGGAGATTATTACGCCGTAAAATATGGGACCTTCGTATGACGACTGTTATTATATTGATCAGGAACAACAATTCTTATATTGGAGTATCTTATTCTTAAAATAAGAAAAATAAAAAATTATTTTTAACACTTTAATACAAAGTATTGAAAATAAAATTCAACTTTATAAGAATTTATTTTTTCAAATATTTTTTTTACGAAATCAAAAATTTATTTATAATTAAATTGGATGCGCTTTTATGTTATACCGCATAAAATTTTTTTATTTTTGTATGTCTTTGTTTTTTATTTTTTAATATTTTATTGAATGTTTTCGTGCGATATTGAAAGAATTTCCTTGCACAACGTGTATTATTTGAAGGATTCAAGGAGAATTTTTCTTTTTCTCAAAGTTTTGTGAAACTTTCTATTTGAGCATGCCCCTGATATTAAATGTGCATGTTTTTGTTTCTTTTGTTTTAATTTCTATAAGTATGTAATTCAATAATTCGAATATTTTTCAATTTAAAAACTTTTTATATTATTGCTTTTAAATTCAATTGGATTTTTCTTTTTTCTTTCTTATACATAAATGAAATCTATACATATATAATATACTTATTTATTTACCATTGCAATAAAATTAAAATAAATAACTGTAAAATACCATAAAAAATAACAGCTTAAAGTATAAAAACAAAATATAAAACTAAAAAAAAATTTGTTCTTATGTTTTTAATACTTACACATAACATTTAATAAAATTGAATCCTCTAAAGCTGAATTAGGAAGACGTGGATTAGATCCTTCACATTTAAGTATAGTGCCATCATCTTCTGGTACTGGTCGAAATGTTAAAATTGATGTTACAATACTACCATTTTGAATGGAATATATCTGAAAGATGATGAAATAAATGATGAGAATTTAAAAGTACAAGAATAAAAAATTTAAAACAAAAAATGTATAACAAAAGCAAAATGAAGTGAAAAGAGAAAATATTGTTTTTTCATGTTCTTTATTTTAAGAAAATGTCAATCTTATGGTGTAATCTCTGTCCTTTAGTATTTTTAATTGTACGTTTTTTAAGTATTTCCAATGTTATTCAGTTTTTAAAATAATTTAATTTAAAAGCATCATTAGAAATTAGTAATGAAAAGACCGACCGGCATTTGCGGTATTTTGCATATTGAATTTTCTATACAGTATTGTTTTTTTTTTCATGAGAAAACGTAAATAAAATAGTTTTAACGATATATCCGACTGCCGGTCTGAAATTCAGTGTACTCCTGTTTCTTAATTTTAAAAGATCCAAAACCAATTTTGGTAGAGATATTAAATATTAGAGTTTACTTTAAAGAAAATAATGAATTAACGAATTTTTGAAATAGCAATTAGGCCTTTTCCGACAATCGAATTTCCATATGTCTCTAACGATGAAACAATTTTCTCTAACGATGAAACAATTTGCTGAAATGCTACAAATACTTTGCTCGAGTATTTCGTATATGGTGAAAAGGCAGGTGATAGTTTAGACATTTGTGTTCATAGGATAATTTAATAAACCGACAATTTTTTCATGTATATTGAATTTCGAGAGCTGAACCAAATTTACATCTTTTGAATTACGAGTATTATTTACTACATTATATCTTGCAATTAAGAAAAATCTTCTAATTATATATTTAATTATAATTTTCCTAAAATTTGAAATATGCGTGTAAATTACATTTTGAAAACTTATTGAATTACCTATAGAATTCTATTCTATAGGTAGAATTGTGTTAAAAAACAATTTTTAACACAATATTGTCCTTAAAAAAATTAATTATTTTTTTACTTTTACCTTATTTCAAATTGCATTCAGCAGAGTACAATAATTCGTATATCGAACTCAAACCTAATACATATGTATAATGGTAAGTAAGACCAAAGTAATTGAAGAGCATAACTTATACTGATATAATAATATTCATTGACTTGGAAAGTATAATCGGTCTGAAAAATATTTAAAACGCGACAGAGCAGAAATAAGAAATTTTTTTTAAAATTTGCAAATAAATTACAAAATATATTTACAATGTATCGGAGCAAGTAGATTGCAAATTTTTTTTGCTAATTTGTGGGAGCGTTACTTCTAAATGTAGTTTTTACTTGACTAGTATTATATTTTCAAATTTTATAGCTATAATTTTCCATTTTCAAATTTGTTTTATGTTATACTAAAATGAAGATAACCCTCTTGAGGAAAATATGTAGCGGTTTTTACTTTTTTTATATGAGAATATAATTTTTTTTCTTTTTCTTTCTGTTTTCTAAGTGATTTGAGGGAATAAAGGTATTTGTTCAACGAATCATTGTAATTGAAATAAAAATACTACAAAATGCTTCAGATTATTTTCACGATTGTTTACAACCATTTTTCGTTTTTTTTTTTGTTACATTTTGTTCATGATATTTTTTTCATTTTCTTTACTTATACAATGTAATTTTTTTTTTCTTATTGTTGACTCATTTTTCGATTATAAGGACTAAAGGAGAGTTAAATATTTTATTTCTTATTATTATTTTATTTTTGTTTTTTTTTTTTATATATTTTGTGTGTTTTGGTATATATGGGTTTAACTTTCTTTCTTTTTTGTTTTTATATACTTGTTTCATATTGTTACCCCTGAGAAGTACAATATTGTCTAATTTGATATTGTTATATTTTATATTATAAGACATAATATAATATACTTTTAAGATATAAAAGATTGTGTTTCCTTACACATAAGTATTGTCTTAATATGTAGGTACATTACATTATATATATACATTGAAATATATAAAATATATGAAAATAATGCGAAGAAAAATATAAAATAAGAAGCTAAAAAGAAAAATTAGGAGATTGATAAATAAAATAATGAAAGGGATTTAAAGTCAAATAAAGTGAAAGCACGTTCATTTTTACATTTCCACAAGAATATAAAAACCAAAATTACGAGGAAAGATATTAAGAGATCCAAGGAAATCATATCTTTGTATTAAAGGATAATAAGAAATGAAATAAAAAAAAAAAACAACAAAGAACAAAAGAAACAAAAAATTAAATAATTTTTTAACAATTTAATTTTAGTGAAGAGAAATTTTTTTGGTTGTGCTTCTTTTTTTTTATATCATTTCAAAATGGAGATTCAAAAATCATTTAATATTATTAAAAATGAAATTTAATAACTTTATGGAAGTGGAGGCGAATGTTGGGACTAATTAATTATTTTAAAATTAATTTGAAAATATAAATTATATTAAGAGTCGATTTTTCATAATAAAAATTTTAATTAAATTTAATTATACCGAATGGAATTCAATTCAAAAGAAAATTTAAAATTTAAGTTCAGTAATAAATTTCTGGATGAATGAAATTGGAAATTTCATATTTTTTTTATGAAATATGTATGTATATTGAAATTTTGTATATGAATTTTAATTGACTATAGCGGAAAACATTGATTTAAAAAGTGAAAATTGTCCAAAATTGAATATTAAGTTTTGTATTTTTGAGATTGTTCTTTAATAATACTGAATGCTTGTGTAATAATTTTGGTTTGTGATAAATAATATTTTATGAATTATAGTACACCAAATTAACACCAATTTTAACATCAATTTCTTGCCACGTTCTACTTTAAACACATTTGTAAAACAGTGTAATTTTAGCAAATTAAAATAAAATTTCATTAAATAAATTTTCAGTTTACTCAGCTTACTTCAACATAGTTGAAAATGTAAACAATTATATTACATAATTATTTTTTGTTCTATATAAGTATGTGTATGTATTGAAGTATGTGGTCTATAATTTAAAATAGAATGCAGTTTATATATATAAATTAAACTTAATTGCTATTTGTTTATTAATTTTAAATAATAAGTTTTTGTGTGGCAATAGGCATCTAATTTCAAGGGCATGTAATGTAACAAGTTTATTTGTAAGGCGATAGTTTTATGAGAAATTATTGTGTGCATGTGTGTATGTTTTAAAAGGCTCATAATAACAATATTATAAAAATATGCAATACTTTACCTTCCCCCTTTTAAATGGCCGATTATTTTGAGTCCATTTAATGTCTGTTTCTGGAACTGAACCACCAACGTAACATGTCAAATTATATTCAACTTCCGATATTAAAACTTTAGGCTTTTCAGATATATTTACATGTAAAGGTTTCACTATAAAATTTAAACAAAAATTAAAAATTTTTGTTAAAATTTTAAAAAATTCAAAATTGATGTTCTTAATTTTTAAAATAATCTAACATTTTGTATTTTAACTTACATAACATTTCAATTCGAATATTTTTCTCTGCTGGCGGAACTAATTTTGTATTTGATGCTTGACATTTATATGTTGAATTTAATGCATTTCGACTAATATGATTGACTTCTAAACGATTAACAGTCACATGTCTACCCATTGATACACCATTACCACCTGACATTATCATCTGTGATCCATTAAACCACGTAACAGCTGGTTCAGGTCGCCCTGTAAAAAGTTTATATAAAAACAAAATTTTATTTTTAATTTTATCTCATTTTAAGCTGCTTTAATTTTGTGGGGATTTTTTTTTTATTTTTATATTATAGAAATATTGAAAATCTTTGAAAGTAAATTTTTATAATCTGCAAAGTAATAGTTAAGTTTTGCTAAGTAATTGAATATTTTCTTATAAAATAAGGAAAAAAAAATATCCATGAAACGAAAAGAAAAGTTTTTACTCGCAAAGATAAGAACTGTTTAAGAATATTAAGAAAATTTTTAAAAGATATTAAGAAAAATTCTTTTATATAGCAAATAGCACTAATACACATGAACTATGTGCTTGTAAATACTTATAATATATACATAATATATTAATTATTTTACAGGGAGCATTTAAGTTTAAAAAGTTTTAAGGTAAGCAGTTAATTGATTTGACGTGAGCTAAAATAAAATTGTTGAAGTAGATTGAAATTGAATGATTTTTTTTTGTATATGTGGTAATTTGTATTATTAAATTATGCTTGTGTAAATACATTTTAGGAATTTTTCCAATAGATTTTTATTTATTTCAATAGTATAAATTATATCAATAATAATCACCAGTAGATTAAAACGCACGTGACTTAACATTTTTTCAAATACAAATGTATTTTTTAAACATTCACGGCAATTTTTTAAACATTCACGGCAACTAGTCCAAATTTTAAGACTTCAAACTTTTATTGAATTAACTTTGTTACTGAATAATTTAGTCAGAACATGACGAGTGTATTTTTGATTAAGAGGACGATTATCGTAACATTTTTTTTTTTTGTAAAAATTCGATAAACCTTAAGTAATATTGGAGATATAGGGGAAATAAAATTAATATTACTTGTGAAATTTTGAAATAAAATAAAATTATTAACGATATTCATAAACTGTTAAAATTTAAAACTGATTCCAAATTATAAGACAAAAATAGCTTTAAAACCTAACGAGAAACTGAATTCAGCGAAAAAAAGGAAAACAGAATTGCTTAAAATTTTTCGAATTTTTGTGATTTTATTTTGAATAAAAATTTTCAAATAATCATTAAAGTCAAATAACCATATTTGCTAGATATTGTGATATTTATACATTAATTTTTAAGATTGTGAAAATTTGTTAACCAATTACCTAAATTAATCCAAAAAATTGAACACATAGATCGAAAACATTATAATCTATTAAAATCACATTAGTTTCAGAAAAAAATCATTCACGAATTTGAACTACTTTTTATATTATTATAAGAACTTTTAAATTCCCAATTTAATTTAAATTTCTTTGATTTATTAATTATTAATTATGAAAAATAAAAATTTCTCATACCTACATAGTCCCAATATTCAAATAAAATTTATTTTCAATTGAAATTCAACATTAATGTAAAATATTCAATAAATAATTCACAAATTTCATTTTAATTTAATTTTTTTTAATATTTCTAATATTAGAATACGAAACAATTTAAAAGCAATAATATAAAAATGCTTAAAAAATTCTAGTAATCTATGTAGAAAAAAAAATTAATTTTTCTTTTTTATATAAATTTCAAATAATACAAAAGTTATTCAGCGTAATATTGTAACAGACAGCAAATTTGTTCACCCATTTAAACCCACCGACTCATGACTAATTTATCCTCATAAATTTATCTATAAATGTATGTGTACATTCATTTACATTATACGCAAATTTGTATGTGTATGCATACATATATGTACATTTATTAAAATAGTTGTGTTGATGATCCGTTTTCATTTTATATATACAATATGTAATATTAAAAAAAACGGAAATCGTAAAGGAATATAAAATATATATACGTCCGTATGTATCCACTAGTACGAGATAACCTGAGTAACATTTTAAGAATAGTAAAATAATAACCACTATTCCTTACACAGTAAGAATTCAAATCTATATTCATGAATGTACACGTACTAAAGGTTCATCCACCGTACCTATGTACATACATATATTATGTATGAATGAATTTTTATTATAAAAGCAAATATTTTAAATATAATGTACTTTACATTCATTCATATATGCATACATTTGTTTATATATAAATTTTTGTCTCAATACTATACATACATTATGTATAACATTAAAGTGTTTCTGTAAATATTGTAGTTTGCCCTAGAATACAATCAGGAAACAAATTTAGCATAAATACCTAACATCATTCGTGCCATTTATATTTGTATATCCTAGAGAAAATTTGCATAGATCTTTGTTTTTTTTTCTGTTTATTTTTTTTTTGTATTTTAGTAAAAATTTGTTCACTCAACATTATTTTACCAAAGATTTTATATTCATATAATAAAATGGCGTTAAAAAAAAATCATTTTGGTATTTTCTGTAATGCGTTTTAAGCTTACCATATTTATAAATAAAATGAAAAATAAATGAAGCTTTTTATGTAACTATATGGTTTTAGGGATTGATTGAATATTTTTTGAATTTAATAAAAAATAATTTAATATTAATTTATCCTAAAGTTGAGTAATATAATATAGAGAAAGCCGCAATTTCAAAACATGTGTTGGAACCCGAAATTATTTTCATATTTTATGAATTGAACACAAACAGTTTTGACGAACTACCTACACATACTTTTTCATGTGGAGCTTAGCAATTAAGGTAGAATGTTCAATATAAGGATCTGAAAATAGAGACGATATTCCACTAAAATTTTGAAGTACATTTTGAAAATTAGGATTAAAGAGTTATTAAATGTCTTCTTTACTGTTATATTTTACTTATCAATTCAATTTTTGAAATATTTTCAATGGATTGAATTAAAAACAATATTTTTACATGCTTTATTCAAAAGAAATCATTTAAATTTGATCAAGTCATCATTATTTTGCTTTTTAATCATTAGAATTTTAACAATATTTTAGATTTGAAAAAATAGCGTTCTTATATGAATCATTTGAAATTTTCTTATTTTTCAATTCATTTCGATCAGCAGTTATGAATTCTGGTAACAATGTTGTACAACTAATATTAAATTGCATAAGATGTAACTGACACACAAGAAGAAAATAAAATTTCTGTGAAATACATAAATATTTATACATACATATGTATACAATATCGTGTATAAACATATTATAATGTATTATTACAAGAAGATGCGGCATGGCAGAAAAAAATGTGAAAAATAAATTTTTTTAAAAAGTTTTAAAAATTGTAAGACAGAAGTAAAATGAAGACACGTTCGTTTTCTGATTCGTAGTCTTCATTTTCTTAGAAGTTCCGTTTTTTTTATTCATTTTACTTTTTAGAAATTTATTTTAAATTTTTTTCTATAGCATGTATTCATTTTTTTGCACATACATACGTATATACCAATATAATTCATTATTTTGTTTTCCTTTATTTCTTTCCAAAGTATTATTTGATATCTTATCCCTAAACTGAATTTCTAACGTTGACAGAGAAATATTGGATTTTGTGCAACTACCGTTTTGTATTTTTTTAATACATCAGCGCAATTCAAATCTTTTCCGCTTTCTTTTAAATTTGGTATACCTAAGTATACTTAAAATATGCACACATTTTATGCACGTATTCCATACATTCTATTTTATTCAAGCAGTTTAATAAAAAAAGTAAAGAGAGTGAACAGCTTAAAAGAAGAGAAGCCGAAAAAATAAAAGAAAAGTAGAAAGATGTATTACCAAAAATGACAAAAAAAAATAAAATTACTAAAAATCTTAAATAAGAAAAAATGAAACTAAAATATGGAAGGTAAAAAACAAAAGCAAAATACTACAAATAAAGACAAAAACGAAAATAGAGGACAAAGAAAAAACCGGATTTCAAATGTTTATCCAAATGTCATCCATTTTTTATACCAAACAATTTACCATTGTATTTTTGACAAAATACACTAGTGGTCGAAAAATTTGAAAACCTTGCATATTATCAGGCGTTGCATAAGGTAAAATTTTATTAAAAATCTATATCTATAAAGTATATTTCAGTATGTAAGTCTATACTTTCAAACAATGAGAATAGCAATTTGGCATCTTCAAATATATACTTCATGTTTATACAGTTATACTTACATAATGTATAACAGTTTTGTAAAAGATCATACAATACATGTGCAGACTGTTATTTAGACTGTAAAATCTATCGGTTGTTGACGGCTAGGCGAATCGAGGCAGCAACATTGTTATTATAAGAACTTTATGAAAAATATATAATAATTTTTTGAAAATTAGAAACTTCAATTTTTGCAAGCTTCTATTTAAAGTTTATGCATTAAATTATGGAAAACATGGATGTACATTTTTAATTTGAATAATTATGCGGATAGCAAATTGTTACTCGAATAATAATTATTTATTGACAGTTATTGAATTTCTGCATAAGAAACCGTATAAAGTAAACTATTATCGTATTATTACATTCGTTTTCTAAATATTGTACTTTAGATAGATATCGAACTTCTACATGAACAGGTTTGTCAAACTGAACCAGAAAAACTTTATGCAGTAATAATTCGTGTACATAACATTGTATTAAAAATATTTCACCATATTTGTATAAGATGTAAGTACGTACCCATGTACATAAAACGTTACCGTACGTTGTTGTAAACTAACAAAACAAAAGACAATGCAGTTGACTATGTAATTTTTTTCATGTACAATCAAAATTTAAACGTATTTATTACAGTGTAGGTAAAGAAAAATGCATGGGATTACAAAACATAAAAGAAAAACAAATACAGTTAGTAACACACAAAAAAAACCCATTTATTTTTTTTAACATTTTCGGTTTCAATGTTTTTTTTTTAATAAAATCTGAAATAATATGCCCTAAATTGCAAAATGTACTGCAATCACCTGATATATGCATGTTATAATATCACAGTAACGACGACTAAACCAAATATAAAAGACAATAATAATAAAAAAAATACATATATAAAAATACAATATATATAAGGATAA